GGATTTCACCTTCCAATTCGTTGAACCAGATAATCAAATCTTGAAGCTTCGATAAGTACCTGGAACTTGAAGGGATTTCTCCGGTGAGAAAATTGAAGCTCAGGTCAAGAGAAACCAGTTGAGAACAGTTGCTGAGAGTTGAAGGTATTGGACTCGTGAACCAATTGTTTTGAAGGTACAACTCCTTTAAGCTTGTAGTTGTACCATGACATAATCTAGAAGGGATTCCACCGGAGATTTTGTTGGAACTCAAATCTAAAGTCTCCAAATTGGTCATTTTTTAGAAAGATTCCGGCAAGAAACCGATGAAATCATTGAAAGATAACACCAATGTCTTCAAGTTACTAATTTCCAAAAGGGTTTCAATGGGTAGCTCACCGGAGAAATTATTTCGGGAGAAATAAAGTAGTTGAAGCGAAGAACATGATTTTAAGCCGTCGGGAACAACGCCGGAAAGGTTGTTACCGGAAACATTCAGTTCAACGAGCATTGGGCATAGATTGAGGAGGTGTGGAGGAACCCTACCTTGGAAATGATTGGTGGCTAGATACAGAAACTGGAGGCTCCTGTCCACCGGAAAAGATGGTATCTCGCCGGCGAACTGATTCTGGGTGAGATTAAGGAAGCTGAGATGCTTGCAAGACGATAAAGAACCAGATATGTCTCCGGAAAACTTGTTGGATGATAAATCTAGATACTCTAAACTCGAGCAATCACGAAATGAAAGAAACCCAGATGAGAAATTGTTTGCAGACATATCTAAGTACTCTATTTTTGCAACTGAAAAAAAATGGTCTTTTATATGTGAAAAGACAAATATACCCTCATGTGAGATCACATGAGGGGGTTAACAGCAATAACTTAACGGAAGTTAAGTCGGGGGACCATTTCTACATACAAACTAGGCCAAAAGGACCATGAATAAAAAAAAGTCGAGGTTTGGACTGAAACCCCAAAAAAATGCATACCACAGGGACCATTTTTGCAATTTTGTCATTTATCAAACAACAACCTTTCTGGATTGATACCTGAATTAAAAGAGGGATATATTTTTTTCAGTTGCAAAAATGGTCCTTTATATGTGAAAAGACAAATATACCCTCCTGTGAGATGCACATGAGAGGGTTAACAGCAATAACTTAACGGAAGTTAAGTCGGAGGACCGATTCTACGTACAAACTAGGCCAAAAGGACTATGAATCCAAAAAAGTCGAGGTTTGGACTGAAACCCCAAAAAAATGCATACCACAGGGACCATTTTTGCAATTTTGTCTAAAAAAAAAAGGTCAAGAAGATTATACTATATTGAGACCTTTGAGTTATCTTGGTGCTGATGTCTTCATACTTGCATTTTCCCTCATTAGCAAGGCCAACTATGAGAATGTCTCCAAAAAGGTGATTATATATGTATTGATATTGGATTGGAGTAAATTACAGAAATGGTCCATGTGTTTTTTAATATTTACCATGTTTAGTCCAAAGTTGTAATTTTTTTTTCAATGTTGGTCTTCATTCTAAGGTCTCATATCGATATTGGTCCTTATTTTAATGTTTTATATTGATTTTGGTTCTTATTTCAAGGTTCCAGGGACCAAAACCGATATGAAACCTAGAAATAAGGACCAAAGTTGGAAAAAATTACACGTGTGGACGAAACACAGAAATATGAGAAAGCACGGGAACCATTTTTGTAATTTACTCATGATATTGCTTTTATTTTTAAAATTTAAATACAAGAAATAGTAATATACTTCCATAGATTCCATTTATTACAACATCTCTCTTTTATTTTCTTCTTATTTTTATATTGTACTTTGAAGAATCTATCAACTTATAGCAATATTCTCTAAATACAAAGCAACTTTAACCCTTTTATTATCAAGAGTATATTCGGTGTATCATTTCGTTAATAAAATATTCTCTTAATCAAATTAATACTATTCTAAGTTTCTAACATTTACAACTAACTTATTTGAAATATATTTTTACTAAGTTGTGCGTATTCATCAAATTAATTTTGGAAAATATAAGTAAAATAATTAATGGGATTTGTTGGATTTTTGTTGAAATTTTCAGTGGATTCTTGAATTGAGGCACCACCAGGTGTTCCAATCATCCTTGTTGGAACAAAGCTTGGTTAGATTCTTTTCAACCTTCATTCACTACAAAATGAATATTTGCAATTACTATCATTTTCTTTCTACGAGTTTGTATTAAACCAACAATCAAATGACCAAAATACCCTCGAATATTTATTTTTGTGATGAAGAATGGTTGCCAAAGTGGGATGTTTTTCAATTTGAGCATCCTAAAAATCGAATTTTTGCAATTCTTATAAAAAAGCAAAATTACAAGTCATCAGTCAATGTAGACAAGTCACGACCTCAAATGACCAAAATTAGGGGCGGATCCAAGGGGATCCCGGGATACCCCTCAAATTTTTTTCGGTAGTGTAATTTTTGTTTACGCATCCCTAAAAAAAATCGGTATAATGTATATATATGCATCCCTCCACTTATAAACACAAACAAACAATTGGTCTGTTGGTTAAGGTGTTGGCTTATTCAAGCAAAGGTCTTAAGTTCTATTCTTGCTTCTTACATATTCTTTGTTTATTTTTGTTTTATTTTCCCAGCTATTCTATCCCACATCGCTAAACACATGTAAACTCAACCATTTTTTTCTATTACATAAATCTGTTATGCTCATGCTTTATTTGATATCTACTTTGAGTCCCACATCGATTCAAGTATCAAAATATACTTCAACTTCATGTTTATATAAGAAGGCTTGAGGTTAGCTAAGGATTCGGTTAAGATTTGGGTTTAAAACCGAAACCGAACCCGGAAAACCCGAGTCTCGGGAAAAAAATTAGGTTACCCTAAAAAAAATTGGGAGACCCCTTTACTTTGGTCCTGGCTCCGCCACTGACCAAAATACCCTCCAACACTGACTAAATGTTTATATCTTTTGTAGATCTTCAAGACATGATAAACAGTTTTTGAGTGACCATCCTGGTGTGGTTCAAATAACTACAGCTCAGGTACAAATACAAACTACTCCCATTTAAAATGATGTTTAAAAAAAATATTTGAGAGCACTCAGGGAAATATAAAGAAAAAATAAATGAGGGCAAATCTCTAAAAAGGTTAGGACTTGATGTAAAGTCTCATTTCTATGACTTTCTGCGTTAAGTCGCAAAAGAAACACTCATATATAGCTTACCCAGCTAAAACTGTCTCTATTAAGTTGAAAAGAAAGAAGTAACATCCAAGTGAGCCCCTTACATGCTTTATAGTTTCACATATTAATAAGGAAAAACAGTTTTCAAGGTATTACACTTCTCATTTTAGTCACTGAATTATTATGTTCTTTATGATTATTATAATAATTAGTCGATGGTTAATGCCTATAACTCTGAAATATAATAATCTTATGGGCATTAAGTTGACTTCATAACCAATTATGTAATTTCTTTTGAAAAAGTTTAATTTCTCTTAAATGACAAAATAACCCTTGAGATATATCGCATGATAAATAATGTTTAAGAAAGAGGGCCTCCTTACTCATGAATATGTTTTACAAAACTATCCATCTTAATGCAGTACCTCGAATACTTTTTAATATTTTTTAATAATGATAGGAGCTGAAGAAGCTAATTAGTGCCCCTACTTACATCAAGTGTGGTTGCTTATATCAAGTGTAGTTCAAAAACACAGCAGGTGATACGTTATACTTATGCTCATTTTGTATGTATATTTTTCCCATGAAATTCCAATGTTTGACTATTAGTCAAAGGTCTAAATATCCTTAAAAACACTAGGGCAATTTTGTGATCCACCTTAAGAGTTTGGAACATAAAAGTTGTTATAATATTTGTGAGGCAAATACCAAAATTAAAGTTGCAATTTTTTCCATGTGACATCTAAACATGAAAGAAGTTGCATTTTTTATGAGACACCAATGAAACTGTTTTCAATGAAGTGGATGCAAGGGCATTTACATCTTTTTTGCATGTATATGGTTATTGCAGAACGTGAAGGCGGTTTTTTATGCAGCCATTAAAGTGGTTCTTCAGCCACCAAAGCAAAAGAAGAAAAAGAAGCAAATGGATCAAAAATCATGCTCCATTCTGTAATTTTGTGCACAAGATTTTTAGTATGAATCGAATGGAAAATGGGAAGAAATTTTGACTTTTTGTAACGTCCCGTTCCTAGTACGCATTTAATTTATTTAAGTATTTATTTTGTAAGAGCTACTCGACAAGTTGGTAGCCCTAACTCGTCGAGTAGATGCCAGTTTGGACGCAGGATTTAAGTGGTCTACTCGACAAGTCAAAATTCTTGACTCAACGAGTAGGTCCGTTAGGAGGAAACCCTAATCTTTAGGGTGTGCACCACTATTTAAGCATCATATCAGGCCTCCACCCCAGCCTCCATCACCTCCACATCCTACTCTCGAAACCCTAATCAACCCTCGAGTGTTCTTAACCTTTTTCTTGCCATTTGTATGATTTGAAGCTACGAGAAGGAAGGAGACCCTTGGTGATTCAAGAAGAAGCAGTAGATCCAGAGCTTGTGTTACATTTCAGACCTTTTGGAGGTATAAAGCTTATACCTTGGCTTATTTTCACTTAGATATTCTTCTAGGGTTGCATGTTGTCATTTTTAGGCCATTTCCAAGACCATTTCCGAGTTGTGAGCTTTTGGGGACCTAAGGACTTCAGATCTGGGCACTCTTGAGCTCTAGAAGCTAAAAGTTGCCACCTTTATTCAACCATGTCTCCATTCCATGCATTAGGTCTTCATTCTAGTTTGGTTTTGGTGTTTTAGCTTCATATCACCATGCATGCACGTAAAGTTAGCAACTTTACGTGTTATGCTAACCTAGGGAGTCCAGACTTCAGTCTGAGGGATGTTGTATGCTTGATGTGTTTGTGATTCTTGCATGTATTTGTTTGTATGTTCCAGACTTCGTTCCGATGTCGGGGAAGCCCGATGAAGAATTAGCTTATATGTTATGTGTCATGTGTACCGGACTTCGGTCCGATGTCGGGGCAAGCCCGAGGAAGTTTATTATGTTTATGTGTTCACTACTAGAAAAACAGCCTTTTACGACGCGCAATTTATGATACGCGTCGATTTACGATACACAAAAGTATGTGGCCTAAAAATAATGTCATCTCTCTATAAATTTTAAGGATTTTGGACGCGCATTTTTGCGAGCCGTTAAATTAGTGTCTAAAAAAAACACGGATGGTGCCTATAATAAAATGTGTGTCGTCTGAATATGTCGCTTTATAAATTTTAATGGAAACGCGCGTTCCATACTTTAATAGCCGGGGAGGGGGGGGGGGGGATGAAATCCTAAAAAATTAAAAAGCTCGCCTCCCTTTTTCTTCCTTTCCCTCTTGCCCTAATTATTGGCACTCCTTCCTTCCCGCTCCCGACATTGGACATTGACTGCCGCCTACTTCTTCCCTCACACTTCGACCATCATTACTTGCCATTCCCGGTCATCGACATCGATCAAGGCAAGCACGCCACTAGCCGACAACCTTCACTCTCTCCTTATCCTTTTCTCTGTAAACCCTAATCCGCCTCCACCACTAACGAATCTACCTCAACTCACCTCTGACCTCGGCTCATCCCTTTCCGATCGCTGCTAATGAACGTATTTTGTGTTTAATTTGGGAGCAAATCGTGATTTTTTACACCGGAAGCCTGGATAACAGGTCCGATGTGGCGGCATCGCTTGTCTCGCTTGCAAGAGACAATGATCGGTATGGGAAGATGATATGCCCAATCAAAATTCTTCTTCATTTCGATCGAATTAGACAGCGTCTTCGTCGCCTGACTTCAATTTGAGTTTATCAGAAAGGGCGTTCGCCACCGCTGGAGCCGCTTTTCTATCTGCAGTTATAGTAAATCCTCTCGATGTCGCAAAGGTACCCTTCTTTCTCGATTATTTTCCTTACACATGTTAGTTCCAATTTCATTCTCGACCTCTACAATACTCTGGTTGTGGATCTTGATGCCAATTGTATTGGTTTCCCTGATTTGATCAGGAGAATTGATTGACTTCGTGTATTGCCTGATTATGCAGACTAGATTGCAAGCTCATGCTGTTGGTGTTCCATATCAGAATCTCCACTCCAAATGTCGCTTTGAACCAAACACAAGTTCAATTTTCGAAGTCGCTGTCTTTCCAAATCGAATCGAAAGGTTCAATTTCCTGAACTCATCATCATCACTCTTGTTCTATTGCTATACGAAATTATAGTTTTTTGTTCTAAAATGTTGTGATGTTAGGGAGGCAATTGTTTCTAGCTTGGGTTGGATGGTATAGAACCTTCTAGAAATATTTCAAGTATAATTATCATGTGTTATCTTATTCTTTCCTATAAAGCATATATGATAATATACATATTCTTCTTGTTTTTAGGGTTTGTGTCTGGACTGCGATGATGTTGTGTGTTCTTGCTATAATCTATGCTTTCACACTCATCACAAGATTCACAAGGGTTGTTGGTGAACTTTTTGGCATATTGATTTCAGTGTTCTTTATGCAAGAGGCTATTAAGGTACATGCAGATGCACTTGTTAATGTTTTGACTTTCCTTTTGAGAGATAACTCATTCACTGTGATCTTATGTTGGATATTTTAGGGAGTTATTAGTGAGTTCCATATAGAAAATGAAAGAGTAGATGAGTGCCAATTTCAATGGCTATATACAAACGGGTTGCTTGCAATTATTTTGGCATTTGGTACCCTCATGACTTCCATGAAGAGTAGAGGTGCTAGGGCTTGGCCATATGGTGTAGATAATTGAGGAAGTCATGTAATTTATTTATTTATTTTTATTTTACATGCATTTACTTTCTTATTTAATATGTTTTATATTTTTTTGGTAAGGACAGGGTGGATGTGTGGTCTTACAGAAGACTATGGGGTTCCTCTAATGGTGTTACTGTGGACTGCAATATATTATATCAAGCCTAGAGATGTTCTTCCTGGTGTTCCTAGACGCCTTTTTTGTCCCCTTCCTTGGGAACCTGGATTTTTGTCTCATTGGACTGTCATTAAGATATTTTTTTACTGCTGGTAATAACAATGTGAGCACTTGTGGCAAAAGTGTGATTTTGGATTAAGCTATTGGCAAAAGTTGTTGTAATCGTGTGTGTAGCCTTCCTTTCTGTAACTTGTACAAAGATATTTGGAATGGACAAAATAAAGAGCAGAGCTTATTAGTACAGAAAACGTCTCTGTGAAGTTTTCGTTACAAAACCGGTCCCTTTATGAACCTTAGATAAAAACAAGAGATTAAGAATCATATTTCATAAATTATTAGTTTTTATATAGGGCTAAATGCAAGAAACACAAATGTGCTTTCATTTATACATACTTATATGACCTTGGATGAGCTTTTGGAAAGTAAGGGTAAGATAGTCATTTAGTGTAGTTAATATATTACATGACTTTTAAGGATTGGGACAAGGATAATAACAGACAAAAAGACTATTCTGTCCCTTTAGTAATATATTGAAACAATTATATATTTCTTTTATGGTCTGGTAGTTTCAGCTTTTTACTTTTAAAGAATTACATTTCTAAAAGTTGTGGTCTAGCAGTTTTTTTTAAGGCAAGATGCTATTTTGGCTACTGAAATTAAGCACAAGGTACAATCGACATTCAAGATTCATATTTCAGATAAGATCACAAATTCACAATATATTTATGTGTCTTTGTTATACATACAGATTAGGAAGGTAGATCCGACTTTGGACATGGAGGCTGATGAAGGAGATAATTACACACATATTCCAGTAAGAAACAACAGAGTTGGATGATTATTTGTTAGCTTTATAGGAATGTAACCCATGTTAGCAATGTATTATTTTTGTTTAACATTTGTATGATTATTTGTATGACATATTATAATTTGTTTAATTTAATTTATTTTTTGTGTATGAAATTTTATTTTATATTACGCAATGGATTGTATTTTTTGTATATGGTATTTAATTTTTATTATGAGACATCAATTGCAAATTTAATTTAAAAATTAATAAATATATAAATATTTTTTTTTTAAACATTTAAATTTATGATACGCAAAAATGCGTGTCATCTTCGTTTATGACATGGCCTTTCTTGACAGGGGGTTTAATGATACGCATTGCGTGTCATAAATGCGCGTCGTCTATAGACGACGCGCAAAAGCGTGTCATCTCTCATTATGACAGGGCCTTTCTTGACACGCATCGCGTCGTCTGAGCGTTTTACGACACACATTGCGCGTCATAAAAGGCTATTTTTCTAGTAGTGATTTATCTATTTCATGTTTCTAACACTATCTAATCTAAACTAATATCATCCTTCAGCACAATACTCCTAGCATGCTGTAAGTGCTTAACCCTGCTCCGTCCCTTCGTAAGGGGATCTGCTGGGTTATCTTCTGATGATATCCTCTTAACCACGAGGTGTCCTTCTTCTACTCGATTCCTAATAAAGTGATATTTTCTGTCAGTATGCCGAGATCTACCATGATCCCTCGATTCCTTGGTCAAGGCAACCGCTCCTTCATTATCACAGAAAATTTCCATGGGATCCTTTATGGCAGGCACAACTCCAAGATTGCCAATGAAGTTCTTCAACCACATTGTCTCCTTTGACGCTTCGCTCGCTGCAATGTACTCTGATTCACACGTTGAATCAGCTACAGTTTCCTGTTTGGAACTTTTCCAAGTTACTGCTCCTCCATTAAGGGTAAATACCCATCCCGACTGTGAACGGTAGTTGTCCCTATCAGTCTGGAAACTGGCGTTACTATACCCTCGAACCTTTAAGTCATCACTCCCTCCGAGGACTAGAAACCATTCCTTGGTCCTCCGAAGGTACTTAAGGATGTTCTTGACCACAATCCAATGTGCTCTACCAGGATTCCCTTGATATCTACTGACCATGCTCAAAGCAAAGACCACATCAGGACGAGTACAAGTCATAGTGTACATGATTGAGCCAACTGCGGAAGCGTAAGGTACTCGGCTCATCTCAGCTATCTCGGCTTCGGTACTCGGACTTTGAGTCTTACTCAACTTGGTATTACTCTGTATCAGTAGTTCTCCCTTCTTCAAGTTTTCCATACTAAAACGTTTTAGTACCTTATCTAAGTAAGTATTCTGACTAAGTCCTATTAGTCTCTTACTTCCTTCTCTCACAATCCTTATTCCCAAAATATAGGAAGCCTCTCCGAGGTCCTTCATAGTGAAGCACTTCCCGAGCCAGGACTTTACCTCCTACAGAGTCGGGATGTCGTTTCCTATGAGTAGTATGTTATCAACATACAAAATGAGAAAGCTAACTATGTTCCTATTGGCTTTGACATATACACATGATTCATCTTCGCTTCGTACAAATCCAAACTCTTTGACTTTCTCATCAAAGCAAAGATTCCATCTGTGAGACGCTTGCTTCAGTTCATTAATGGAATTCTCAAGCTTTCACACTCTATTTGGATGCTTCGGATCGACAAAACCCTCTGGCTGAGCCATGTAAACATCCTCAACCAACTTCCCATTAAGGAAAGCGGTCTTGACATCCATTTTCCATATCTCATAATCATGAAATGCAGCAATAGCTAGCATCACCCTAATAGATTTTATCTTCACAACTGGTGAGAAGGTCTCATCATAGTCAACTCCGGGAGTTTGAGTAAAGCCCTTTGCAACCAATCGTGCCTTGTACATGTGCACATTTCCATCCATGTCAGTATTCTTCTTGAAGATCCATTTGCACCCAACCGTCTTACGTCCGGGCACATTGTCAACTAAATTCCAAACTTGGTTGTCATACATGGACTGAATCTCGCTGTCCATCGCCTCTTTCCATTTTGCAGACTCCGGGCCTGCCATGGCTTCCTTATAGCAATTAGGTTCATCTAGATTTATTAGTGTACTATCACTAATATACGTGTCCCCTTCGGTAGTAATATGAAAACCATACAACTGGGGTTGAACTCTAACTCTTTCGGAACGTCTAAGAGGTAATGACTCGTCAATTGGTTCAACCGGAGTTTCCTCCTCGGGTTGGGCGCTAGCAGTAGAGGTTCCTGATGGGTTTTAGCCATAAGAACTTTCCTATGTGCGCATGCAAAACCCAAATGCTTGGATCTAGGCTTTCTAAATAAACATGCTTTGAATCCAAGACTTCTAATAACTATTTAGGCTAAACAACAACATTAAAACAGATCTGGAATCATACCTTTGAATTCCTTGTTGACCTTGTTGTCTTGGAGCTTTTAGAGTCACAAATGTCACTCCTCTAATGGCTTACAAACACCAAAGCAAGAAGGATGATTTGAGAGAGAGGAGAGGGGAGGAATTTCGACTAGTGGTTCCTTACTTTTGGTTGAATGTCGAATTGCCCATGCCATAGGGTCTATTTATACTTGTAGACTCCTTAAGGGTTACAGATTAAACCCTATTGGATAATCTTCTCTTAAGGCTATCCAAATCCACTCCTAGATAACTCATATGGACGAATTTAGCTATCCTATAACTCTTAGAATTCGTCCAATGCATATCCTTATGGATTTACAGTCTAAAGTTTAACTATCAAGCAATTGACAGTTTATACCCTCTTATTTAATTAATCTCTTTAAGTCACCAAATTAATTCTAATTAATTCTATGACTTATATTAATCAAATAACAATATATTATTTATTATATTATTCTCATAATATACTAATAATATTTACTCTCTCTTAATAAATCATCCTATCAAGTTGCTATGGTGAAGGCAACCCAAAAGGACCATGCACAACCGGGTTAAATACTTGTCTAATATAGTTGTAGCCTTAGACACTATTCCAACTGTCTCCCACTTGGATAAGTCTAGTAACTATATGCACAAGTACAATTCGGTTTGCAATCGTAGCTTTCCAAGACACTTTCTAACTCTGATCTAATCAATCTTGTCCTTTAGATAAGGGATCTTACAGTCCTCTGTTAGATATCATGCTGACAATCCTATGGAATGGTTAGTCAAGCATTTAGGTTTCTCGATCTCTGATTTATTCGACATAGAACTTAATTGAACACATCAACTCAGTTCTGACCGGGCCCGGCACATAAGTCAAATCAAATCATCGAGCGGCCGAGATATCACTTTTACCTTCTTGGATAAAAGTTACAGATAAACTTTGACTTATATGCATTTACTTATTCATTAACCAACATTACACAACAATGCGTTTTATAACACTGAGTTACTGATGCATTTTCACACCATCAATGTACAATCAATTAACAAATAACAAACCATATATCTAGGTTTTAAGACTATATGATATTATCGTCTTGCGATCACCCTTTTATATCTTATTCCATAAGGTGATTCCAGCAAGCGTGGGTTTGTTCCAATGCTCAAAACCAGTTCATAAGCACTCATGAACGTTGCAGCAATCCTTTGCTATGTCTAACACAATTTAGACAATCTACACACCAATTCATGACAATCTTCATTCATATCTACTTCCAACATATGAACGATTGTGGACAATTTGAACAATTCGATTATTCCTAATAAACTCAATTATTCTGGAAGTCAAAACATGCAAAGTGAAACAATAGTTAAACAATTAACACATGATAGTAACATTACTCATAAATAAAACTCCTTTATTTAATCATCAAATGTTAATTACATTTACCTATTACATGTTTCTAGTACTATCTAATATATGCTAATATCATCCTTCAGCCCAATGCTCCTAGTATGCTGCAAGTGCTTAACCCTACTCAGTCCCTTCGTAAGCGGATCTGCTGGGTTATCTTCTGATGATATCCTCTTTACTACGAGTTGTCCTTCTTCTATACGATGTCTAATGAAGTGGTATTTCCTGTCGATATGTCGTGATCTACCATGATCCCTCGGCTCCTTGGTCAAGGCAACCGCTCCTTCGTTATCATAGAAAATCTCCATGGGCTCCTTTATGGCGGGTACAACTCCAAGATCACCGATGAAGTTCTTTAGCCATATTGCCTCCTTCGACGCTTCGCTTGCTGCAATGTACTCTGATTCGCACGTTGAATCAGCTACAGTTTCCTGCTTGGAACTCTTCCATGTCACTGCTCCACCATTTAGGGTAAAGACCCAGCCCGACTGCGAACGGTAGTTGTCCCTGTCGGTCTGAAAACTGGCGTCACTATACCCTCGCACCTTTAAGTCATCACTCCCTCCGAGGACTAAGAACCATTCCTTCGTCCTCCGAAGGTACTTAATAATATTCTTCACCGCAACCCAATGTGCTCTGCCAGGATTCCCTTGATATCTGCTAACCATGCTCAAAGCAAAGGCTACATCAGGGCGAGTACAAGTCATAGCGTACATGATTGAACCAACTGCGGAAGCGTATGGTACTCGGCTCATTTCTGCTATTTCAGCTTCGGTACTCGGACTTTGAGTCTTACTCAACTTGGCATTACTTTGTATCGGTAATTCTCCCTTCTTCGAGTTCTCCATACTAAAACGTTTTAGTACCTTCTCTAAGTAAGTGTTCTGACTAAGTCCTATTAGTCTCTTACTTCTCTCTCTTACTATCCTTATTCCCAAAATGTAAGAAGCCTCTCCGAGGTCCTTCATAGCGAAGCACTTCCCGAGCCAGGACTTAACCTCTTGCAGAGTCTGAACGTCGTTTCCTATGAGTAATATGTCATCGACATATAGAACGAGAAAGCTTACTACACTCCCACTAGCTTTGACATATACACATGATTCATCTTCGCTTCGTACAAATCCAAACTCTTTGACTTTCTCATCGAAGCAAAGATTCCATCTGCGAGATG